AATATCAATGATCAGAAGATGGGCAATTTTCTCCATTATGCATCCTAAATAATCTCATATGATCCTTACATGGATATCTATCTATACACACACACACACACATACACATATTAAGTCCATAGGGGAATGCTTTTAAGAATAAAGCTTTTCGATGCCATCTAGGTGAAAGCTAGGTGGCCCATAATACAATATGTGGAGTGCCAGGCCTGGAATCAGGAAGACTCTTCCTGAGTTCAAATTTGACCTCAGATACTTTTTAGCTGTGTGACTCTGGGCAAGTCATTTAACCCTGTTTACTTCAGTTTTCTCATCTGTAAAATGAGCTGGAGAAGGAAATGGCAAACCACTTCAGTATCTTTGCCAAGAAAACCTCAAATGGAGTCATGAAGAGTCAGACATGACTAAACAACAACAACAACAACAAATTTAGGTGGCATAATGGATAGAATATTGGACTTAGAGTCAGCAAAACCTGTTTAAATTCTGCCTCAGACATCTCCATGCTCTGGGATACTGAACAAATCACTTAACTTCTTTGGGCATCAATTTCCTCGTCTGTAAAATGAGGGAGTTGGATTCCATAGCTTCTAAGAACCCTTCCAACTTTTCATCTATGATCCTGTACATTTTGTTCTGTCAAATAAACTTTTAAAGGACAATAATAATAACAATATCTATCATTTATATAGTGACTACTGTGTGCCAAACACTGCATAAAGAGTTAAAAAAATTATCTTATTTGGTTCTCACAACAACCATGGGAGATAGGTGCTATTATTATTCCCATTTTACATTTGAGGACATTGAGGTTAAGTGACTTTCCCAAATTCACATAGCTAATGTCTGTGGCTGGATTTGAAGCTAAGTATTTCTGACTGCAGGCCCAGTGCTCTCTCCACTGTACCACCTCGTTGCCCAAAAGTGCAGTTGGATCTTATATTCTTAAACATAACCAATCCATCAATCAACAAGCATTTACTAAGCACTTATCACGTGCCAGGCATTGTGTTAAGTACCAGGGATGCAAAAAAAGGCAAAAGTATGAAACAGTTCCTGCTCTCAAAGAATCCAGATAGTAAGGGGCAGGTGGATGTTGTGGTAGAAATAATATGTAAATAAATAGGCATATACATGATAGATATAAGGTAGAAGGAAAGTGAACATAGAAGGAAAAGCTCAGTTTTAATAATAATTTTCAATATTATTAATCATTTTTATAGTAAAATTATGGATTTTATAGATTCAAGTATGACTCATAAAAACTAGTTGAGAAATTTTCTTAGACTCTACCAGAACCTGTAGTAGTTGGTATTATTTCTGATGAGTTGTGTCATGTATAGTTTATCTCACTTTGAGTAGATTTACTTATCGCAATTGCTACTTTACACATATTAAAATGGTAGGCCACATCCAAATTTTTTGTTCTTGTTTTTTTTCCTCTAAAGTTGGAGAAAATTTTTAAAATGCTTTCTGAATAAAATAGTCAATGGAATCCCTTGGACAAAGAGAAATAGCATGAATAATACGAGAATACAAGAGTATCGCTATACCAAAATCTTGCCCAGTGCCTCAACATGGAAAAGGTGATCTTGGCTCCATGAAGGCTATGTCAGGGGAGAACAAGTTCTGAGAGGTTCCACAAAGCTAGTAATCCAAATACAAATCAATACAAAGCTATTACAAATTCAAATAAGGGCTTGTTGATGGATTGTTTTCCTGCTGTTATCTAAAAGCACCAGCTTCAGTAAGTATGGAGATGTTCATTATCAGAATATTAGTCATTAGGGAATGATATTTTTGCATCTTATGAAGCATGAAGAATTGTGATTTTTATAGGTGAGAGGAGTAATCATACCTACCAAATCATGACTTATTCACATAATATAATGGAAACAATTTTATCTGTCAGAGGACCTGGGTTCATAATACTTCCTCTGTTATTTATTTCTTGTACCTTAGACAAGTAAATCACTTAACCACTCTGGGCCTCAGCTTCCTTATCTATAAAATGAGAGAATGGCCTCTCAGTTCCCTTTTAGTTTCAAATCTATTAATCTACAATCCTGACTTGTTCTTATGGCCTTGAAACCCCTCTCCCCCTTCTCCTCCTCCAACAAATTTAGATATTCCCCTTAAACAGATATGGATTTTAATTTTTTCCCAAGAAAAGCAAGTTAAATATGTGAAACTTCAAAGAACTCCTTTCTCTCCTTATAACCCCTCCATGCCTTAATACAGAATCTTTATTAATTTTTGCAGAATATATATGTATACATACATACATATATACACACATAGTATACATACACATACATACATACATACATCATTAGGTATTGTTCGGTTCTGTGTCTGTATCTATATATCCCAAAAGGCCAACCACTAGAATATCTATCTATTTAACCCCACATATACACAGATACACACACAAGTACATAAAATCTAGTGGCTGGTCTTTTGAGGTACAGATATAGAGCTGAACAACCCATAATGGTGTATGTATGTATGTATGTGTATATATAGGTGTATACACACACACACACACACACACACACACACACATATATATATATATATATATATACACACACATATATATTATATCTAGTGGTTGCCTTTTGATGATGTACTAGGCCTAACTAGGCTAACTCATAGATGAAAGACACACAGTTTGGACCTGTATTCAAAGCCTTTGTAGCTTGGTAGCACCTAACAGGATTTATGCTCCATCAGCCTGGCCTTCAACCATTCAGGACCTCTATTCTGCCATTTTGAGGCCCTGAATTAAGACTTTAGGGGAGACAAACAAGGAACAACCCTGCTAAATAAGGCTACCTTTCTAATCCCAGTAAAGCTTCCTATGCAGCAGTGGTACCTGCAGGTATGAGGGGGATTCTCCTGGTCTTATGAGTAAAGACCTAGTCTCACAAAGCCTGCCTTTATGCTTCAAGAAGATTAAGGAGACTTAATAAAAGTTAAAAACCAGTGTTCATTTCCACCTCTGACTATTCAGAACAAAAGATAGGCTTTTCCCTTGAGCTACTGGGTGGCATTATAGCATTACTGGACCATTTACAATTGAGTAAAATAGTAAGTGGCTTATTAAAAGAAACCAAGCAGGCAGGCTGATGCAAAATAGATAAATGCTGGCAGGATTTGCATACTGGTGGGTGGCACAGTTCACTGACTAAATTGTTTCCTACCCATTGGCTTTAATTCAGATTTACTTTGATCCTTGAAATTCTTGCTCCTTTCATAGACAAAGGGTATATTCATATTCATCTGACACATAATATACATAATCTGTCAAAACAGAAGCTTGCTTTATTGCTTTCCACATCCTGTAGCTGTATGCCACCTACAGCTGAGTGAGTGCCTTTCATATCTCAAACAATGAATATGCTTGTTAAGGAGAATAGGAGAGCTAAATCATGGCCCCCAGGTGACCTTGAGTGGACATTTGATCTCTCCCTAAAACCTCACAGCTGAATAAGACTTTAATTATGTCTAATGCAACTCTTTCCTCTTAAAGATGTTTGACCTTTTTACTCTCAAGCAGTGCTCTACGTAAACCTTCTCAGGTAGATGGGTGTTTATTCCCATTAAGCTTTTTAGTGAAAGACATTTCTTCCTTGCTTCATTGTTCCCTTGTTTCCTCTTTCTCTCCCTCTCCTCCCCTTCCTCATCCCTTTTGCTTACCCTTATCCTTCCTTTCCCTTCCTCTTTCTCTTCCCCTTCCCCTCCTCCTTCCCTTTCCACTAGATGTTTCTCAGTCTCACCTTATGATATCTTTCCCATTCCTATGCATTTGCCTGGGCATAGGTACCTGGAATAAACTCTTTCCTTATCTTTTCCTGTTAAAATCTTTTTTCATCTTTTAAGCCTCACTGCAGGTGCTGCCTTTGTTCCCGTTTGTCCTGATTGCATTGATTCATCACTTTGTTTCAGTCTCATTTATGTACGTGTCTTATTTTCCTATTATACTATAACCTCCTTTAAGGAGGGGCTGTGCCTTTTCATCTTTGCGTCCCTAATGCTTAATAAAGCCTAAGAGGTGAAATAAGACATATGCCCAAATACCTCTAAAGTACTCAAGAATGTAATGGTACAAAGAATGAGAGACCAAAGTGCTATGAAAGCTCAGAGCAGTAAGAAATCACTTCTGATAGGGAGGATCAGGGAAAGATTGATGCCTGGTAAGTATAAGATACTCAGGACTGGAGTGGAGTAGAAAGGAGAAAACAAAGGCAGAAGGAATAACTTGAGTACAGGTAGGAAAGAAGGAGTACATTCAGGCATTATAAGAAGTACAACTTGGTAGGAGCATCAATTTTATAACAGGGGACAGTGAGGAAGTGATTGGAAAAGTTGGCTTAAGGTAGACGGTGGAAGGTCTTGAAAGATTAAGTAATTTGGATTTTATTTGGTAGGCAATGAAGAATCAGGCAGCTAGATGGCTCAGTGGATAGAATCAGGACCTGGAGTCAAGAAGACCTGAGTTCAAATCTGGCCTCAAATACTCACTAGCTGTGTGACTCTGCACAAGTCAATCTCTGTTTGCCTTAATGCATTGGAGAAGGAAATGCAAACCACTCCAGTGTCTTTGCCAAGAAAACCCCATGGACAGAATGGTCCAACACAACTGACCAACAGCAATGAAGAATCTCTGAAGGCTTGTGTGTGTGGGGGGGGGAGAGGAGGGCAGAGTAGGTATGGGTAACAGAGGGTTTTAGTTTTCTGTAATTGCCTGCCAATCTTTTTCGTAGGTGTGATGCTCTGATTTGTATTGAAAAAAATTCCTGAGCAAAGGTTAATCTGTTAATAGCATGTTTTAACATCCAATAACTGGCTCAAGAGAGGTGGTTAAAGAATACATCCCATGGTACTTGCTACTGCTCAAGGTCATTAGGCCTGGCATCCTTCTCTGTTGATAAATTCATGAGAAGAGCTATGTGGTGAGACAGATTATTCCTTTCTCCTTCCTTTGCCCTGTCAAGCAATCAATCAGTGGATAAGCACTTGTTGTTTAGTTCTATCTGAATCTTTGTGACACATTTTGAGTTTTCTTGGTAAAGATACTGGAGTGGTTTGCCGTTTTCTTCTCCAGTTCATTTTACAGATCAGGAAACTGAGGCAAACAGGGTTAAGTGACTTGCTCAGGGTCACAAAACTAGTAAGTATCTGAGGCCAGATTTGAACTCAGTTTTCCTACTTTAGGCATAGTGCTCTATTCACAGTCATCTAGCTGCATCTAGTAAGCAAATATTACTGCATACTACTTGTCAGCCTTCAGGCACTGTGCTAGATGGTTTTTGTTGTTGTTCAGTTATGTCCAACTCTTCCTTTGAGGCCAGATTTGAACTCAGGAAAATGAGTCTTCCTGACTCCAGGCCCATTGCTCTGTTCACTGTTTCAACTAGCTGCCCGATGCCAAGTGCTGGGGACACAAAAAAGGGGAAAATCACAAAAACAGTCCCTGCCTTAGAGGAGATTACATACTAAGTGAGGAGGTAATATATAGATAAATCAGTGGATACAAAATACTTACAAAGAGAAAGGAAGGTAACCTCAGATAGGAAAGGTCAAGTGGATTGGAGGGCAAGGAAAGGAATGACCATCAGTTGGCCTTTCTACTGACCCTGGCCTGAAAGGAAGCCAGGAATTTCAAACAGTTCTGGGAACAGAACCAACATATAACACCTTGATTTCTCAACAATTATTACCTTAGAATCCCTGTGAAGCAGGGAAACTGATGGAGCATCACCAACATATGCCAGAGATGGGACTTTTTCTGTATATAAGGGAAATGCTTATAAGCCATTTTCCTGCTGTCAGCCTACAAACTGGGTCCCTGTATTATGTTTAATGGAGGAATGGATCAATGCCTGTGCAGTATTTAGGAACGTCACAGGCTAAATAGAAATACCTTTCTGTCAAGGAATCACAAAGAAAACCAGAAGGTGTGTCCTTTAGCCTAACCACGAAAGTCATTTGTGATGAAAAATTTTGCTTCAGATATGTAAGCTTTAATATGGGATGACCTTCACTTTCTAGTGTGGCCACTGGCTTTTCCACAGAATCACCCTTTTGTATAACTTAGGCTGCCAATTGATGAGAAAAATAGCCGAGAGTCTGATCGCCTCATATGTCCTCCAACAATCCCATCTGAACCCTCAATTTAAGTCAAAACTGAAGAGGTTCTAGTTAGGATGTGGAGGCCCTCAGAGAAGGTTGCTGCAATAGACTGAGAGGAACATATAGTTTATCTGAGCCACTGAAGCTGTCTACACTCATTGAAGACAGCTAGGTGCTTTCTTCACTACAGGATCATAGGATCATAAATTTAGAGCTGGGTGAAACTGTGGGGTACAGTGGAATGGATTTGGCATCAGTAGACCTGGATTCAAATCCTGACTCTTCAACTAACTACCAATATAATGTTGGGCAAGTCTCATACTATTTCTGGGTTCTGGTTTCTTTATCTGTAAAATGTATGTGAATCAGATTATTATTATTTTTTTATGAGCAATCGGGGTTAAGTGGATTGCCCAGGGTCACACAACTAGTAAGTATCAAGTATCTGAGCTCACATTTGAACCCAGGTCCTCCTGACTCCAGGTCCAGTGCTCTATCCACTGTACCACCTAGCTGCCCCAGAATCAGATTATTTCTAAGGCAAGGTTCTTAATCTTACGTGGTTAAACTTGGTTAATTTGGCAACTGTATTTCAATGTAATTTCCATTGTGATCCTATGTATTTTATTTTATGCATTTAAAAATATTATTCTAAGAAGGGGCACATAGATTTCATCAGGTTGACAAAAGAGTCCGTGACACAAAAAAGGTTAAAAATTCTTGCTCTAAAGTCATGGGATCATAGATGCAGAGATGACAGGCAATTTTAACATTATGAAGTTGAACCCTTTACTATATAGATAAAGTGACCAAGTTCCGGAAAGCTTTAGCGACTAGTCACACAGTTTGCAACTAGCTGAGCCAGAATTCAAACCTAGGTTCTCTTCTAATACTAAATCCATCACCTTTTTCTTCATCATTTCGTGACTTTCAATTCCTTTTCAATAATTTTTGTTCTATACTTCCATGTATGAATGCCATTCTCCTTGGCAGAGAAAAAAAAGAAACAGAATAGGAGTTGAGTCACACCCTGTTTTCTATCATCTTGTCATTATTTCATCCTCACCCCAATGCAGTGTCCCTCTCTCTCTTCTTGCCCCCAGCATAACTTTAAAAGGTTATTCATGTTTTTAATGTTTTCATTAGTATTCATTGCAAGCCTCATTTCATTTGTGTCTTTGTCATTCCTCACATTATTCTTATAAGATCACTTTTATATTCATACTATTCATCCTCAGTTATCTACCCTTCCTTCCATATTCTATAAATGTCTTTTTAAAATATGCATTTGTTAATGAGTCCCCTGAGCCACTAAAATGGTCTCTTTAGACAACTTCATCTTTTCTTCTTCATTGGCATCATCTGCATTTATGTCTTCAGACTTTCATTCTTGAAAATCTCTTGTTCATCTTGAGCCAAATTCCCCAGAAATGCTACCTATTTTTAACCTGGGCTTTTTGACATGTGATCTTACAAAGTCTTTTCAAAGACCAGTCTATTTAGCTACCTACTCACTTACCTTGTTTCCTCCCTCTCCCTCTGTCCTTTTCTTCCTTCCCTCCCTCCCTCACTCATTTCCTTCCTTCCTTCCTTTTCCCTCCTTCTTTCTTTCTTCCTTCCTTCCCTCCTTCTTCCTCATTCTTTCACTTCTTCCTTCCTTCCTTCCTTCCCTCCTTCCCTTTTTATTTCCTTCCTTCTTATTCCTGCTGTATCTATGGTAAAAAGGTGATCTAGGCTTTTCTTTTACATGACATGTTATAAACTCAATGAATGAATATACATCACTTAGCAAGATATCATCCCTTTCCACTGCTCTTGCCATTACCTCCATTACTTGGAAGATAGTAAATGAGTCAATCTGCAGAGATTGGTAGAGGTATGGTATGATACAGTGGATAGAACACTGGATTTGGAGTCAGAGAAGTTGGGGTGGAATCCTGACTCTCTCACTTACTGCTCATATGACCTTGGACAACTCATTTAACCTCTTCTAGTTTTCTCTTCTTCTTCTTTTTTTTTTTAAAGGCAATTAGGGTTAAGTGACTTGCCCAGGGTCACACAGCTAGTAATTGTCAAGTGTTCGGTCTGAGGCCAGATTTGAACTCAGGTCCTCCTAACTTCAGGGCCGGTGCTCTATCCACCGCCCCACCTAGCTGCCCCTGGTTTTCTCATCTTTAAATGTGAGTGTTGGTCTAGATGGCCTCTGAGGTCCTTTCTATCTCTAAATATATGATCCTAAGTGTTCCCTTCAGCAGGCTAAACAATGCCAGACCCTTATTCTTCCTGTAGTTAAATAAATGATTTAGATACTGAAATGATAATCTCTCTTTGAAAAAAATACATGCTACATGTGAAACGTCTTCCTTTAATAGCAATGATTATAAGTTAATATAAAAATTAGTAGCAATTTGTCCAGATTCATTCTGGTTCAGGTTAGTTCTGGCTGAGTTAGAAGGATTAATATTTTCTGGCTCATCACAACCTTACTTACAGGTTTAACAGGCTTTAATTCAACATGATCCTGGGGGGACTGATGGTAGGAATGTGTGTCAAGTCCACCTATGAAGTCAACTGAAAATATAATAGTCCAATATAAATATATAGATGGAAATGTAAAATACACATAAAACTGAAAATTGAAAATAGAATATACAGAAATAAAAGGTATTCATGTCTGAGATTTACCATAAAATGGAAAATAAATGTTTTTAATACATGACTAAAATCAATGAAGTCAATGAATAAATAAACTACTGGTGAAATTTAAGAGACATTCAAAGTATGTAGGAGCTTTTAGACTGAAAAAAATCCCCCATTTTTATTGGTTTTCGTAAAAGACAAAATAACATCAGAATATCAATTTATTTATGATGCCCCCAGAATCTTTTACATATCCTTTTTCTTTATATGTCAAAACTTTTTTTTGGGGGGGGGACTAGGCACTGGGGTTAAATGACTTGCTCAGGGTCACACAGCTAGTAAGTGTTTAAGTGTATGAGGCTGGATTTGAACTCAGGTGGTCCTGACTCTATCCTCTGCACCACCTAGCTGCTGCCTCAGAACTTTTTTTTTTTTGCTACAGATGCCATAATCCACTTTTTCCTAGTATGTTTTGTTCATGTTTTGAAAAAGGCTCTCAAGAAATCACCTAATAAATCTCTTTGACTCATGATAGGACTGCTCTTAATACATCCCAGAGAGAGTTAAGTCATCTTTAAAATATTCAAGGGAGCTTTCATAACCTCCTGGTAAAGTGACCAGATGTCTCATTTCCCCTAAAGTTAGAATTTTCTTTCTAAATGTTTGTTCTGAATCTCTTCTGTGTCACTCAGATTCTTCTTGTCCACTCTCATTTCAACTACTAATTCTAATTTATGTCAACTGCAGCTCAGCTGTACTTATGTTCTTTTCTAATTTTCAATCAACTTGAATTAGAATTAAGTTACATTACATAAGTACATATTCAACAAGTATGAAGTCAAATAGTGCTCCTGTTCATGTGTAAATTAATACTTATGTGACCTTGGAAAAGTTACTCACTCTCTCTAAGTCTCAATTTCAATATATGCAAAATGAGGGAGGTTGGCTTAAATGATCACTATTTTTCTAGCTCTAAATTCCATAAACTCAGCATAAGTCCCTCAAGTCATTCATTGTTCCTAAAATGTTTTCTATGTCTGTTCCTACATTTGCACACCTATATGTCTGTATACAATACTATAAATATATACATTTCTGTGTTTATATATACACATATACATACACAAACCTATAATGCAGACACACAATGTGCCCAAAGTGTATTTGAAAACTTAGTTATATCTTGCCCTAATGCCAATCACTTAGGTGAACTGATATTGACCTTCATTAATAAGAACTAGACTAGAAATTAGATTTGGGCTTGGATTTTCCTCAGTTACTCTTCACCTCCTCCCAAAATAATCTTGAGTCTGTTTCTCTGAGCAGATCAAATTCTAAATTGACTGTGTTCTAATTTTCATTAAAAAATATTAAAGACATTATAATGGAAGAGCAATTGAGGAAGGGGCTCGAGAGCTGAAGAGGTTATGCTACAGAGAAAGAAGCACTTTCTTGAAGGTAATTTTGTACTCAGAGACATGATCTTGTCTACCGCATGATCTTATCCATGTAATATCAAGGTGTTTTATAATGGGGGTTAGCCATAGTGAAAAATACTATGTCATGTTAATACAGCAAAGTGTAAGCTCTTCGTCACTGCTTTACCTCCCACATCCCTACTTTTTTCTTCCAAAGCATCTGACCAAGTGCTTCTGATCCTCCCCTCCATTTCCACTAATCATATCTTCATTACACTTTTAATTTTTGATAAATTGGTCTTTGTGAGGATTCTTGGCAGGGTTTATGGGGAGTGGGGAGGGGAAATGACTAAAAAAATATTGAACCTAAATGATTTAGTGTCGGTTATCTTAAAAAAAAAGCTGATCATTTAAAATACCCTATGCCTTTTCCATTCTGGGAAAGCGAAATGTTACATATAAACATTGGCTCAAGAGCCAGCAAGGATATCCTTTACTTTTAGATCTTACTAATCTATTTCCTGGGCCAAACTTAAACAGAGCACATAGCTGCCAAGTCATCTCTTAGAAGAAATAATGTTTCTTGTAATTGAGCCTCTTTGCAATTACCCCCTCCAGTCACCTCAAGTCTCTGACAAGGATGCTAACCAAGTGGATGAATGGTTTGCAAGAGTTACTATATATTTATAGTGATATCTTGCTGTATGAGGACAGTATTATGTTTTCTCCTTGTAAAAGACACACAACCACTCAAAACTTTGTATTTGTCTATAGGAAAGCTTAGGTCATAAAGCAAATTTCCTTTGGATAATTCAGTACTCTGGAGTCATACTTAATTCCCCTACCTAGTTCTCTCATACCTAGTTTACTTTATACATAATAAGCAAAAGAGATCTCAAAGGCGATTGATTTCCCCACCCTTCCCCACATTCTGGTGTTCAGGGTAAAGAATATGCAAGGTGGGCAAAATGAATGCTGCTGATTGCTGACCCTGACAGCTTCACATGACAAATAATTCATCACATGCCCTGTGAACTTGAAGGCTCTAGCTCCTTGGGAGCTAGAAAAAGAATTGCCCATAGCTGAGTATTTCTTGGTGTGGTTCAGACCCAATCTAAGTGCTAATGCCTTCCTGCCCCCATGGAAATGAGATTGGTTCTTACTGTAAATCTATAAGTAATACCTAGAGAAATCTTTGTTGACTGTATTCTCCATTTCTTTGTCCATCTGAGTAGCCTTCTATAAAGGAGTCTTCTTCTGCAGTAAGAGCACAGAGTAGATATTTCTGTGCTTGTGTGTGTGTTTGGGAAAAGTGAATTAATAATGAAACAAGCCCATTTTTATTGTAATACGATATCTATACTTCAGATTTTATAAGAGATGGCTATCACTTAAAAAAATAGGAAGTTCCATTCATTTTTGCTGCCTTCAGAATATCTCTGATTCGAAATATGAAAAAAAAATTAGAACTGAAAGTATCTTGGCATTGTTACACTTGCTTTATAATATTAATTGATTTGATTTATAAATTTGGGAAATTGCATTCAACAGGAATGCAAGTCAGTGACTATGTACTTAATGCCTTCCATTAAGGGCATTGAGTACTCTACTACTCTTTCCATAGAAAGACATTATGCTAAGCACCAAGGGTGATGGTACATAATGGATTTGGAGTCTGAAAGATTGAGTTCAAATTCTGGTTCTGTTACTTACTAGCTGTGTGGTTTGGGGCAAATTATTTAACCTCTCTGGGTCTTTGCTGTTGTTGTTCAATCATTTGAGTTGTGTCTGGCTCTTTGTGACTCCATTTGGGCAGAAGTACAGGAGTGGTTTCCCATTTCATTTTTCAGCTCATTTTACAGGTGAGGAAATTGAAGCAAACAGGGTTAATTGACTTGTACATTCATTTTACAAAAGAGGAAACTCTGGGGCTTAGTTTCTTTTTTTTGTAAAACGAATGGGTTGAAGAAAATAATCATAAGGTCCCTTCAAATTTGAAATCTTATGATCTAAACTAAAGTTTAGATAAGATCTGTATTCCCACTTTCATGGAGCTGATAGTCTGTTAGATAAAATATTATATATGTCCCAAACAATAAATAATTGCTTTAGAGAGGTAAAAGAAAAGTGTGATATAAGATGTGGGGAAAGGGTTTATGGGGAACATCCCTTTCACTGGGGCACAGAAGTAGGAACAAGAAGAGGTTTCCTTGAAAGTGTTTGGCTTTAAAGGATAGATAGGAATTCAACAGGTGAAGAAAGACAGGACATTCTAGGTACAATGAACAAAGTCTCAAAGGCAGGAAAAGTGGGGGATATGATTGGGGGACAAGTATCCTAGTTTAATTAGAGAGAAGAGTATGGATGGAGCAAAATGTGAAATAAGGTTGGAAAGGTGAGGTAGTCTCAGATTGTAGAGGGCCTTCAATAAATATTTTCAACAGGTAGATATCATAGGATCATAGATTGGTAGCTCTGTGGCTCAGTGGATAGAGCCTGGAGTCAAGAATACCTGAATTCAAATGAGCCCTTAGACACTTCCTAGTTGTGTGATCCTAGGTAAGTCACTTCACCACTGTCTGCCTCAGTTTCCTCATCTGTAAAATGGGGAACTAGGAAGCCTCTTGATGAGGGTGAAAGAAGAAGTATAAAAGCTGGCTTGAAGCTTAACATTAAAAAAAATACCCAAGATCATGACAACTGGTCCCACAACTTTCTGGCAAATAGAGGAAGAAGAAATGGAAACAGTGTCGGTTTTTATCTTCTTGGGTTTAAAGATAACTGCAGACAGTGACTGCAGCCATGATATTAAAAGATGCTTGCTCCTTGGAAGGAAAGCTATGGAAAATTTGGACAGCATACTAAAAAGCAAAGACATCACTTGGCTGACAAAAGTCCATATAGTCAAAGCTATGGTTTTTTCAGTAGCAATATACGGTTGTGAGAGTTAGACTCTAAGGAAAGCTGCTGCTGAACTGACACTTTCAAAATGTGGTGCCAGAGAAGATTTTTGAGAGTTCCTTGGACAGCAAGGAGATCAAATCAGTCAATACCTAAAGAAATTAATTCAGGCCATTCACTGCGCTGGGAGGTCAAATATTGAAACTGAAGCTTAACAACTTTGGCCACATAACGAGAAGACAGGACTCATCAGAAAAGAACCTGATGTTGGGCAAGATTGAAGGCAAAAGGGGACAACAGAAGATGGGATGGAAAGATAATATCACAGAAACAATGAACATGAACTTGGACTGACTTCAAGAGATAGTGGAGGATAGAAGAGCCTGGCATGCTATGGTCCACGGGTCACAAAGAATTGGACATGACTGAACAACATGAACAATAACAACAACTTCCTGACTCTGGCCCAGCATTCATTCCCCTGAGCCACCTCGCTCATAACTCTCAGAGGTAGGGATGTGCACATGGGTCTTTGTGAATACAGGTCTCAGAATACTATCTGCAAAATCACGCTGTCTTTCTACTGAGGAAAGCTATTATACACATGGTTGC